TCTAACATTCATATTTTCATGATTTTCCCATGAAATTACAGTCGATTTTTTTTTTTTAGGCTTTTACAGTGAGTTGCTTGAATCCTTTGTCAAATCCAATTCAGACATCTCATTTGAATACCTTGAATGGTGTCTTAGTACAAATGCAAATAGCTTTTCCAAAATGATTCCTGCCTTTTATTCAGTAAGTGCCGAATTCTACAAAAAAGGGAGGTCTGTGGGCTGGAGTTAAGGCTATTTGGGTGACTTTTTTCCCTTGTAATTTCTTGATTTCAGAACTCCATAGCAAATACAGATCTTTCTGTTTTTATGTAATTCCTGCTCAATGGTGGAGAGATCTTTACTTGCATAATTCCAACTTGGGTATATTGTAGGTTTATGTGTTAGAAGTATAAATTTATAGTGAATTTGTCTATAATCTGAAATTTGTAAATTGCTGCTTTTAATAAACTGCTTTCTTTAAAATTCTTGGCTAAGGTTTGTGATGTAGTAGTGCATGTGAATATTTATTTAATGGATTACTGTTATGATTTAAAGGCTTAAATTGTTTAGCTCTCCCAGTAATAATCTGCAATTCTAATTTAATAATGTACTAATAACTGATATTTTGTAGCATATTAATCACTGGAAAGTGGGAAAATTGAAGCACTTCGGTAGCTTTTGCGAAAGGAATGTCATGGTATGACTTCTAGTATTATTGCAGTTATTTTGACAAAACCAATTTTGTTTCTGCAGTGGCAGCATTTTATAGCATTGTATATGTATAGTGGCAGCTGGTTATCTGGCTGTAAGACATGAAGTCAGAAAGGTCCTAGGCAGTGGTGGTACTTCATTGTGCTGGACGTACTCAGAGCCATAGGATTTGAAAGGTGTTGTCCCAGGGGTGTTACTGGTGTGATGGCAATGCAGTCCCTGGCCAAGCACTGTGCCAGTCACCAAAGAAGGCTTGGAGACTTCTGTTAAATGCTTATTTACCAGTCTGAACTTTCTGCTTTTTATTGTTTGCTCCCAGCTAAGGAAGTGCTTATTTTGTGTAGTTCCTGTCTGGCTTCCAACATAGTAACATTTCTCATGCAAAAGCCAAGTCATTGTGCCAGAATTCTGCTGACTCTTTTAAAGATCAAGATTCCATCCAATATTTTTCTAAACTGACTTGCTTATTTTTTTGTGTCCTGTTACTTTATTTTGGAGTTTCAACAAACTTGTTCTTGGCAGGGAAGGATGAAGTGAAGCCAGATGTAGTTTGGAAATGTCTTGGTGTCACAATAATGAATGAATGGTGTATTTCATTTAAAACAAAACTCGCTCCGGTGCGTGGCCTCCCCCTGCACTGTTGTTTGTTATCTGTGTTACCTATTTCACAATAGAAGTTACAGAAAGTAGTGACCTCACATGAAACCTACCTGTTCCCTGAAGTGTCCTCCTGCTATCCTAGATCCATTAATTTGTTAGATCTCCTTTGTGTTAAGTAGTATAAGAAAAGGAATCAAAATTTCTTTAAACACCAGTGAATTCCATCCCTCTGATAATTTTCATTTCTGTGGCAAAAGCTAGTCTGTACAGTGACTTCATTATTATTAACTGCCATGGAGTGTTACTCTTCAAATTAATGCACTAAGGGGGATGTGTGGCTTAGCAGTTTGGGAAGTGTGGAGTTAAAAACGTACAGGATGAAAGTAAAGGTTTGACAGCTAGTTGTTTCTGTATTTTAAAGTGTTTTCAGAGGTTGTTTAAAAGTTTAGTTAATGCAGTCTGCAGTTTCCCTAATAACCCAAGAATGCCTCTGCAAAATGCTTTTCAAGAAGTTTACAAGTGGTGACAAAACCAAGATACACACTGTTTTTCTCAGTATGTTCAAAAGGTCCTGCAGTTTCCTTAAGGACTAACTCTTGTATTTTGTTCTAGAAGTTTTATTTTACTTTACTCTGATTTTTATATAGACTAATTGTGAGATGCAGGAATTTGAGGCAAAAGTACTTTCATATAAAGTAGTATCAAAACAATTATGTAAACTTCAGAGTTTGCTGTACAGGTTTTTATATGCTTTTATGTTGCAGTATAAAATTGTTATGCAGGCTGTTTCCCTTTTCTGAAGACATGTGCTTTCCTGTATGGGATTTTCAGAAAGCTGCTAGGCTTTCTTCACAGCTGCATCATGTTCAGAGGCCACACATTCATTCTAGGGCTGAATAAAAGCAATCTATTTTCTTTTTACTTCCATATGATCAGGGAAGTCTGTTTTTTGGCAAAAATTATACCACTAGTTAAAAATGTTATGAGCATTGTGTATGTCGAATTTCATTCCAATATTGTTTCACAAACACATTCAGATTTGATATTAATGATAGCTTTTATCAGTAAATTATAGTAGCAAATGTCTCCTTTTTCTGTTATTATTGTGATAAATAACTTGTATAGTTTTTATTCCTCTGCCTTAACATGTGAACAGGTTAGATATTATGATGATAATGAAGAAACAGTAGATACGAGTGTTGAAATTATCTAAACTTGCGGTAACTAGATAGTAACAAATAATTGACTTGCTTTGTGTGTGTAGTATGTCCTGTAACCCATGGTCCTGAGGATGACAGAAAGCAATTTTTCTGTTACCTGTGAGTTTTTTGTTTGTTCTTCTTTAGTGTAACAGAGTAAAACCCTTGAGAACAAAGAACAGTAATAAAATAAAAGAGTAAAACCATTTAGCTGTCATAGTAGTGTGAGTTTTAGGAGCAGGGTCAATCTAGTTGCAATTTCACTTTTTTGAGGTACTTGAATTTTTCAAGGGTGAGTCAAATATTGTGGCAACAGTCACTTTTGTTTGATGTGAAGGTAAATGAGAACAGGCATGAAGATGGAGTTAAGGTGTCAGGCTGCAGTTTTAGTAGCTTGAGAAGAAGTAACATTTTTGTGTTCACAGGTTTTGTTCTGTGTATCACTGGAGAAAGACCAAATGAGGGATGGGGTATCATTGTCCATCTACCATCCAATGCCATGCAGGGTGTCTTCAGCCTAGGCCTAAAATTCAGTTCACTCTTCTGGATTTGCTGCTCCTTCCCCTTTAAATGAGGAAACGAGCAGGATGTACATGGCAATGTCATTGCAGAAAAGTGTGAGTTAAAAAAGGGAAGTTTTTCTTTGCAATCAAATTGTAAAACATGAAGAACCCCTGCACCATTCAAAGAGTTATAGCATGGCAGTCTTCTGTTAGTGTCTGATAATAAACATAGCTAGGAAAGGCAGCAAGAGAGGGAACCAGTGGTAATTCTTTTGGAATGCCATGCTGATAAACAAGTGCTCTCAGGATAAACAGAAAACAGTAGAGGATTAAAGCACTGAAACAGAGGAACATTGAAGAGCTTTCTGCCACTTTGAAACAGTAAGAGCATTCACTCAAATAGGGAATGCTTTAATTTGATGACAGAAATGAAGAGAAGCTGAGGTAATGCTCTATCTAGCTGCCATCAAAGCTTGGTAAGAGAAAGCAGAGGGATTCAATTGTTGTATAGTAACTTAAAAGCGAGTAATTTTGGTTGAGATGCTCCGTTCAGTCATTTGAGTCAGCAGAGCTGCTCTCAGTTATTGAGTTTGGAGGCCATCACTACTGTCTTGGTAGAGGACAGAATAATGAAACCAGCTACTTGTTGAAAGCAGTGGGGTGAAGCAAAGTGAAAGCTGACAAGAATAGTGTGCGCTGAATTTCAGCTCACATTGCAGGAGACAAGAACACAACTAATAAATTCTTCCTGTAAGTGATAGTTTTGAATTCAAGCCATGCTTCTGCACAGCAAACTGGCAAGTCTGGAGCTGCAAAGGAAGTTAAAAAGTTCTTCAGACTTCTACTTGTTTGTTCACAAAAAACCAAAATTTGCTTTATAGCCCTAAAGAGAGAAGTCAGATCATCAGGGCTGTGGAAATATATCTGCTATATTTTGACTGCTTTTTCTCTGTGTTTAGTTTAAGTAACCTTTGAAGGATCAGGGAGGAGGCTTAAAATAGCAGCAGTGAAGAAGTGAGGAGATCATTAAGTGGTATTTTTTCCTCCCCATTAGGCATTTCACTTCTTGCCTAGGTGCATTCCTGTTCCTTCCACTTAAGACAGGTGATCATTCTTCAGGTCAGGTTATCTGTTTGGTGACATGGATAGGTGGCATTTGTGCAGTTTCTGATGATAAGAGATGTTTGTTCTGCAACACCATTTAAACAATTCCTTGAACCCAGATGATTCAGTTGAGTGTTGACATGCACTGTTCTTTTATGACTTGAGCTTACATCAGTGTTATGATACCTCATTCCTCATACAGCAGTAGTTAAGGAACAAAGCTCAGTAACAATTCTGCCTACTGGTTTTCCTTTATGTGCTTAGAAGGAGAAATGTAATATGAATACCTGATCAAAAGTCAAAAGCTTTTTCAAGCACTGACCTGAGGGATTGAAATCCATTGTTCTTGTCTTGTGTATATTTATATCCAATCCATTCCTGAAGGCCATCACTATTTCTATAGGTAATATTCATCTATAAGTGGTTTAGACCTAGGAAATACAGGTCAGCTTGAAGAGTTGCCTGAAGAACTTGTTTGTTTGTTTGTTTATTTAAAGAAATTAAAGATGTAATCCTTTTTGTTTGTTTTCTCTCAATGCTGTCATAATTTGTGGATGTCTGGCTGTGTATTGGCTAGGTCTTTGGGTATATTATATGAGCTTTGGAATCTATACTTGGTTCTGTCTGCAAGTATTTCCTCAGCATATTGAGTCCTGCAAATAATTACTTTTTATTAGACCAAATAAATCGTAATTGAATGTTTGCTCTTTTATACACAGTCTGTTCCATTTGGAGATTGTAAAGGTTTGCACTGGTTTCATTTTGCATAATAAAAATATTGGTTTAATTTGCTGTCTCCCTGTAGGATTACATTTATTCACTTCTTTTATTAAAGCATAGCTTTTCAAAGCATATCTTCCTGATGGCTCCAAAAAACTTCCTTCTCTCTTTCTCTTTTCAGATTTATCCAAGAATAGATTAACTGAGATTCCTACAGAGTTGTGCCATTTTGTGTCACTGGAAACACTAAATCTATACCACAATTGTATTAAAATTATACCAGATGCCATAGTAAACTTACAAATGCTAACTTACTTAAATTTGAGGTAAGTTTAACTTTGCAACATTTTTTTTTTTTTGTTTATTTGCAAATGTGTAAAGCTTTTTTTGTCTGTACTTTGTGTTTCTGGAACAACTGACTGCATTTTTCATTTTATTGGAAACGCTAATGCAAAAGCTCATTGGCTATAGATACAGCTCTGTATGAAGGCATTTTAAAAGCCAAAATGTGAAACTGATTCTTGAAAGAAAGACCAAGAAATATTAATCTATTTCTTTCCCTTATCCTAACAAATTGCATCAGCACGGTCATAGTCCTTTAATTCACTTCTGTGGGCACATTTTTTAAACCTTGACGTGTTTTATAGTTAAGAAGATGGGGGGACAGAGACAGTGAATTGATGTTTTTTTCCATGGGGAATGGAATAGAAAAGCATGATACTTTATCACTAGCATTATCTTACTATGCGAAAAATATAGTTACTTCCTTCTTTAGGAGGAAGTGGCAAAGAATTTGACACCTTTGTTTCTTTTCAGTGAAGAGTCTGTGTGAATACCAATCAGTATAGAGAATTGCTACTAGTTAAAGTGCAGTTGAATGCCTATGTGCTTTTGAGAGGGCATGTGAGCCCTTTTTGAGTAGGGACCAGTGGTGGAAGTTTCTTTGCAGATAAGTATGTGAAAACTGTAGTAGTGAAGATATAATAATCTGGTCCCTGTGAAAATGAGGTTTGAACAGCGGACAAAATGACTCTTGGTCATTTAAATTTAAGGTATGAAGATTTGATCATCAGTTTTATAAACACTGAGGATCTTTCTCAAGCCCTCCTGTATTATTGCTGTACTGCAATTTTGGCCTCTGTGGACACTTATTTTGGCTCTAAAAATTGTAATGGAATAGTGTATTCCAAGTATCTGCACACGAATAAAGAGTAGGACTTGAAATTTTTGATTAGTGTTTTCTGGAGATATATATAGAAATCAAGACTGAATTAAGTTATTAAATTTACATGAAACATCTTGGTAAATTTAGGAATTAAAATGAGCTCAGAACTCAGTGTTCTGAACTAGTGAATTAGAACTCAGTGTAGTGCCTTAATTTATGTGAATCATCACATGCCCACAAAAGTTAGAGTTTATATCACATATCACAGTAAATTGGACAAAAGGAAAGGAAGCTTTTCAAGTTTTATTATGTAAGGTCATTTCCCTCAGTTTAAAATCCCCTCTTCACTTGGATGTGACCTTCCCCCATGGTAGCTGAACATAGTAAACAGTTTCAAGAAGGAAATACATCCTTGACTTTCTAACCATGTTGCTTCTTGGCAAGAAATCCATTATAGATTTAAAATGCGTATTTTTCTGCCTGTTACCAGCAGAGCCCATATGTTAAATCACATTAGAAAGTGTTGCCAAGAGGTACACATAATTTTTGGGCCTTGGTGGATACTGTTCATGTTTATTTAAAGAAAATCCTTTGAAACTAATGATGATTTATTACTCACTTGCCTTGGTTGTGTGGTGTTCCTTATCTCTTAGTGGGTTGCTTCTGAGTTCTGTAGAGCTTAAAAATAATTTTTGCCTTTTTTTGTGTGTGTCTGATCTGCTGATCTGCGGCATAGTGTAACTGTTTTAGAGTCTAGGCTTTCTCAATTTGAGTTCTTTTAGAACTTCAAAAATATTTTTTACTTATTTTTTAGAATAAGTTGTATCTTGGACTTCTGTAAAGACACTAGAATTAAGAAACCTGGCTCCACAATAAGTTTTAATTATTTTTTTTTTTTGAACTGCTGCTGATTAGTAGTTGGATTTCTTATTTTTAATATCTTCGGGCTTGTTGTTTGGTATCTGTCTGTTCCAGCCTGTGCAACACAGATATTTTGCTTTGTGAAATGCTTTGAGACTGATGCAAAAAGCATGAATATATGTCTTTATATGCAGCTTTGTGTCAGACTGCTGGATTGGCAGTTGAAGAAAAGCTTTGAAACTTAGGGAATTTTGATTTTTCTTTGCTTTTGCTTCGTTTCAATGTTGCAACTCTTACTGAAATTACACAGGACAACTTTTGCCATGTGTTTTCAGAGTTCAGTCATACATCTTTGCTCTCTGAAGCCTTAACAGTCTAGCAGAAGCTAATTAATATGATTTTACCTGGGGTGCCACTCTTAAGTTACTGTTCATTGTTTTACTACAAGTTAAGACTCAAAAGAAGGAAAAAGTTATATTTTAAGAAAACCTTTAAATATTCAAGGAGAGAATAGTTAATATGTTATTCTGTTGAGCATAAAGTTTATTTTGGGAATTAAGCCACAAGTCACTAGTTTTAATCATGTGAAGATCACAAAGGGTCATGACATGTGTCATGCTTAAGTCCGAGCTTATGAATCTTGGAAAGAAAGAAACCATTGGCAGTCCCAGATTTTTTTGCTGTGTTTACTTAAGTTAATATCATACAACTGTAGAACAAGAAGTAAGTACCAAGTAATCTTCAATTGTAAATGTGCTTTAAAGGAATTGAGGAAATAACCGTTTTGTCTGTAGTTTATATTGTCTTTCAGTTGGAACGAAAGGCATCCATTCCAATGCCACATAAAACCACAGGAATGTTTAAATGCTAGCAAAATACTGTCTCATTTGACTTTCCTGTATTCATTAGGAAGGGAAACAGCTGTTCTTGGTGACAAACAGATTTGTTACAGTATTGTCAAACTGATACAATGCATTTTTTACAGAGCAGTAAATTCCACAGTACTGTCGATGCAGGTATATCTGATGTGCAAGTGTTTTTGTAATGATTGCCATTTGAAAATTTAAATTGTATCTGCATAAAATCTGACCCATGAAAATGCAGAAATGTTGCAACTGTCAGACGTGATGTAAGTATACAGTGGAACACCACTGATGGTTGTAATGTTTGTTTTGTTTTGTTGCAGTCGAAATCAGCTTTCTTCTTTGCCAGCTTGCCTGTGTGGTCTTCCTCTGAGAGTCTTAATTGCAAGTAACAATAAGCTAGGTTCCCTTCCAGAAGAGATAGGTCGGCTAAAACAGTTAATGGAATTGGTATGTTGCTGATCTTTTCTTTGCTTTTCATTTTGACTTCTTTTGTATTTAATAGAAACAGTAAGGTTCACTTTGTACATGAACAAATGCTTAATGCTATGAAGTAGGTTGATAAATTCACTTCTCAAGTGTGTTGGATAGTAACACAATCATAGTTTTTTTTATATTGTTCAGGACCCTTTTAAACAACCTCACTGCCCTTGGTTCATTCAAAACTTGTCTTCGAAGTTCATCTTTACCAGTTTTGCTCCTTGTTTCACTGTATCAAGTTCATAGTTGTGGCATCAGGCTCTGCAGGGCTGTATCCCCCTCCCCCTTCCCTCCTGCTTCCTTTTTGTCTGTTACCAGTATCTGCTTACCACATTACATTCCACTCGTGATACTGGTCTTATCAGTCTATTTTCATTTTATTTCACTACTTTTGTCATGCAACCTTCCTTTCCTGGAACACCCATCTAAAGAGACCAACAAAATGTTTATATTCCTCTTGCTTTCAAAGCTGTCCCTATGACTCCTGTTTCTGTGAGCAGTAGGTCATCTGCAGTATATCTCAAATCAATGACAATCTGAAAAAGCAAAAATTACTTGGTGCTAGAACTTAATTTAATTGCACATGCTTTTTGAAGTTTGTGTGTAGAAAACACATAAGAGAATGTTTCCCTTTCTATCCCTTGGTCTTCCTCTTCTGTATATTGTAGACTGAGACTCTGAATTCTCTATGGCATATACACTGTGTCTTCTGCTTATTTCTGTTCACCTTCACCTTTTAGGATACAAATTGACAAATAAACTACATTTTGACACTGCTAATTTATGCATAATAAAAAAATTATATTTGAACTTTCTTCCAGTTGCTGCTCTCTCCATTGACAGCATATATCTTGCACATCTTTTCTGTCTCTGAAAGTACCTGCTTATCATACTTTTGCTTTTATAATAGTAGTTCCTCCACTAAATTATGTTACAGAAATTGAGCTGACCTTGCTTTAGGCCCCAGTCCTGCTATTGATTCTTCATATGTCAAGTGGCAACTGTGGGGCTTTTTTCCTTCTAGTATTCTTGTTGAACAGTGGTATCAGGTTTCTGTTGTACTGGCTGTTGATGAGGATGGGGGGGATAGTCACCTCTTCCTTTCTGGGTTATACCTGAGCTCAAGACTGGCAAGTTTGTTTTGTTTAGTGAGTGTTATTAATTTGACTTATCAAATATTTGAAATTTTTGTGATGGGTTTAATAAGATTACTGAAATGCTTGTGATGTAACTAATCTTCAGAAAAACCTGTGTTAGGCTGTAGCATCATTTTTGTTGTGTTTAGAATAGATTCAATAAAAGGTGATGGTACCAGTTTTATAAATAAAGTTGAAGTCTACTAAGCACATCCTAGTTTATGGGATAGCATGACTGAGTAGATAATAAACAGCAATTAGAACCTGTTAGCTGTTGATTAGCTTAACTGTAACCTAGCTTAGTGGTCGGGGGCTTATGGGCATTAATTGAAAGACTTGGCCTGATTCTGTCTGGTCAAAATCACCCATTTTATTTTTGTTGTCTGAAGTACATGACAGTATTTTCAGTAAAGTACTGCTGAAGTGCTTTCATGGCTGATTTCCCCTGCAGTTTCAAGTTTGAACCCTTCCAGCAAGGTTAGCTAGCATTGCTGCTACTAGAAGTGTTTCATTTGTTACTAAGAGTGTGTACATAGCTTAACAGTAGCCCTTGTCCTTGTTTTAGAATTGTGAAAAGTTAAAAACTAAAAGCTTGAAAATCAATGTAGATTATACCCATGGAGATAGGGCTTGTTTAGTTCAAACATATCATGTTTAAATTCTGGAATACTGGGGTTTCATATTGCTTTCCAGTTACAGTATCATTTCAGTGTTACTCTTTGTCATGAAGAACACAACAGTTTCTGTTCTTTGATACTTTGGTAGCCTAAAAGTTTTATGAAAACTGAAAAAAGTCTGATGCTTGTTCTTTGTGATTAGAAGGCAGTGCAGGGGAAGCTGAAGTGAGTAAGAAGTTCTTGTTAAATTGAGCATTATTCTGTTCACATGACCTGATTACTTGGTTTGATGCCACCATGTGTGTTTGGTACGTTTATAGTGACATGAGTTGCATTATTTAACTGGAAGTGACATAACTGTGATGTATTGGGAGAAGCAAATAGTGGTAGGATTGAGAGTGGGGATCTGTATTGGCATGTATATTACTATGCAGTTGGGATGATAAGGTGATCATTGTTCTAAAATGAGCAAAAAGAAACGACAACAACAAAAATGAAGATTAAGTCATACTGCAGTTGTTGCACCAAAAATTCAGCTGTGTGAGAGCAATGCCAGCCTGAATAGCATGTGGGATCCAAGCAGGACCATCACCCAGCCCTCTGGCAGGGAATGCTGCTGCTTTGGTACACACGGTGCTGGTGCTGAGCTGGCCCTGGGGATCGATCCTCAGATGCCACCTGGCTGCATTCACTTCTTGTATTACTAGGACTTTTCCAAGCAACCTCAGGTTCCCCAAATGTTGCACAAGCTGCGTGCAGTAAGATCTATGTGTACATAGCAAATGGATTTTTAAAATCTTTTTTGAAACAAAGTTTACCTCCACAGTCATTAGAAGCACAGTTTGCTGCAAGTTAGATCAGATCTTTCCAACAAACTGCATTTTTTTCCCCCTTGCTTCCAAATTTGGGGTAGGTAATTGTTTTTCTTATTACATGTATATGTGTATATGGATTTCATACTTGTGGCATAGAATAACTTAGATATTACATGCAGTAAATTTTCAAATATTCTTTTAAATTTCAAGGTTCTGACAGCTGTCTTACAAGCACCAAAGTAACAAATTATTCTCTCTGCAGAACATACTGCACATTTGCAAATTTGCAAAAATTTGATTGGGAAACCCAGTTTAGTTTGCAACTCATTAACTTAATCATACTTCTAACTGTCAGCCGGGAGGGTGAGTGCAAAATTAGTGTGAAGATAATCTGAAACTTACTTTCTGTCAAGGAATAGTCATCAGGCAGAGATGACTCAGTAATTGTGCCCAAAGCTATCAGATGTGCAGTAAAAGTCTGCTCTCCATCCTGTCAGGCAGTATTGCACTTCTGCCTTCTTCGGATAACAGCCCTCTCCATCTCTGGGATGCTCATGCCTCATGGTGGAAGCCTTTAAATCTCTCAGCTGTGATTTATGTGCTTTACCTCGTTCATCTAACCAGGGACAGCAGCCTGACCACGTGGGACCTGCTGCCTAAAAGGATCCATGTGCTCACGTACTGTGTAATTTCTTTTTGCTGTCAGTATGGCTTTTATGTCACAAGCTTTGACTGAATCCATGTGCTTTTTAGGAGTAACAGCTGTCAGGAGTCCCAAGTTTAAAATGAATGTAAGGAGGAAGTTTGCCTCAATTGGAATGGTTTGGATAAACCCCCATGTGTATGTGAATAAATGTTATTATGGAATCAGAGTACCTTACTGGTTTTCTGTTTATACTGCTGAATATATATGCTGAGTTTTATTGGTTTAAGACCTTGGCCATAAACAAAGGAACTTGGCCATAAACAAAGGAAAAATGTTGATGATTTTAATTTGCTTTCATGCCACTGAGCATCATGTCACAGAAACGAATGCTAAATTTTAATACACCTTATATTTCTCTAAATTTGAGAAATTGTGTTGTCATGGCAGGATGTGGCCCAACTTATAAGAACAACATGCAATTAATGCAGTAAGTCTGATCTTGAGTAGGTATTTGCGCATCAGTTGCCTGCAGATGTCCATGAAGGAAAGTTCCACACTGCTGATTGCATAGTTCCTTAAAAATGATTAGCCTGAAAACTATAGGCATTTGACTCTGACAGTATTGCTTCCATTACTGCCAAAGCAACGGGAAAGGTAAACACTATCTCTGTTACATACACACTTATGAAGTCTAATAACAGTCAAGAGCATTAGTGGGAATAATGTTAGAGGTCTTTGTTTTCCGTGGCTATTCAAACAAAGTAATAAAAAAAGTTAGTTTGATTGCAGTGTTTAGTGGGATAAAGGATACTACTGTCTCTAGAGATCTTGTGAATGCTGACATGCTGTCACAACAGATCAGTCTTGTGGAGGATGTTTTGAAAGGTTGTAAGTGGAAAAGTGGACTTTGTTTTTGAGGCTACACACTGCCAAGCTTTTTTTTTCCCTTTTTCTTTATTTT